TTGAATTATGGAAATCGAACATACCAAGCGAGTATAAATATGTACCAGTGTAATTCCAACAGATGGACGTATCCCGAAATTTGAACATAGTACGATGACAACTGCTTGTGATTCTTTGGATTTGCTTTTGATTTGCTTTACATTTCGCCAAAATACCCTGGCTGTAGAAGCCTCTCCGTTCATCTATGTTTCATTCCTTAATCTATAGTTTATCGTAGTTTGTTTTTCTCTTTCCCAAATATGTTTTTTTTACCTGTTTCGGATCCCATTGCCGATTTTACGACAGGTTTGATTGTTCCGAAACAGTTTCGTGAAGAAGGGATATGCCTGCTGATGCGAGGTTCCTCGCGAAGTTTGTCAAAAATGAGCGCTCACGTTCTGTCTGATACGGGTTGCTTGCGAACGCGACGCTAACGCGTCGAAAGTCCAACTGACCGAAGCCGGGGGGATGAATCCCCCTAGTCGAGAGTAGGGGATTCGTCCCCCTCCCTCAGTCGTATGCAACAAGCCCCGAGGGGATATATCCCCTCAGTGCAGCGGGGCTTGTTGCATACGACCGAGGGGATATGTCCCCTCGCGGGCATCGGGGCTTGTTGCATACGACCGAGGGGATATATCCTCTCAGACCTGCGGTTCTTGTTGCATACGGCCCCACAAGTTCTGCCGAAATTCATTGGGCAATTCAAAGCTATTAATTGGGTGGGCTGAAGTTGGCAACAGATAACTTGGTCATGCTGCTGTCGCGGCTCTCAAAGTGTGCGCGCGACAATGCGCTAGGGTACTACAGAGTTAGCACTTGCAGTCTTAGCATTCGATATACTTACGTCACACACACCTCACGACACACAACGCGAATTACGGCGTACGGTCAATTCAAACACGCGCGTGTTAGTTGAACTGTGGAGCAGGAAACTCGTGTAACTCGTATGGCTCCACCCTATTCTTTTGTTTTGAATTTGGGAAATCTTGTGCTGGGCTTCATTGAGGGTTTCGTCCGCTTCTTCATTGCTAGTCTTTCGGCATCCACATTTTCACTATTATCTGCTGCGACCACACAAATTCTACCTTGGAGTGTTGCTTCAAGTCGCGCGGTCGGTGCTATCGATATTGTACTTTTGCCTCCCCCCGCTTCGATTATGCACCATTTGGGCCTGTTTGCTTTTATGCACGTTGGTTCATCAATCCCGCTTCAAATTTGTGGGGATACTTAGTATACATTCTGGAAGGGGAAAAATTCAACACACTGCGTACCGAAATGTTTTTGAGTTGCCCAACTACCAGGCCGGGAGTGTGTAGCATCGCTTGCGTCACATAAAAGTTTTCCGGATATTTGCAGATCAAGAGCATTTAAGGAATAGATACCAAACAAGCCAATACATTATAAAATGTCCCATTTGAGACGAGAATTTTGCCTGAAGCTTGAACAAATGGGGTGAGACGTTCTGTTAGATTGTATGTTAGTTTTGATAAAGCGCTATGTATCACCTCGGTCATAAGTATCCGCCGTTTCGAATACTTGAACATGAAGCATCATAACTATGCTGAACCGCAACCTCCACACTGAAAACAAAAACAATCATGTTGTCAATGATCTTGCCAACCAAACCCATGCCACTTTCGTTCTGATCGAATTGGAACTGTTGCAGGCGGACTATCACCCATCATAAAAATGCTTGCTGTTTTCTCGTCTTCGTGCAGTTTTCTGTCCGTATTTCTGAATTGGTATACAGGGGTGGCCAAAAAAAGAGACACTTTGCCTATGGCGCACATCATCGAACTTTTCGTCGCACAGGGAGCCGATGTTAATGAAAGTTTTACGGCGGAATATTCCTTAGGTGTTCCCCCGTAAGCAGAAGCAGGCCCTCCTTCACTGCCCCACCGTCTTCAGAATATGACGTCATCTGCCGTCACCGTCGAGCTCAACGAGGCTTACCGTAATCGCTCCGGCCTGAAGCTGCTACATAATTTCTTCAATGATTAACTGGTGAATAGCTTCTTAGAGACACTAGCTGTGACTGTGCAAGACCGCTTTTGACCAGCGTTTCAGGACGTCGTAATGGTCTATGGTACCTCGACGACCTCGTTGAGCTCGTACCGTGAACCATGTTTCCGTGGGAAAATCTTCTGATGTCGTCGGTGTAGAAGGCTGTCATGTAATTTAGATAGATTAGAATGTGCTCTTTAATACTAAGTTGGGTCAGTCGATTTGATTCTAGCAAAGTGTGATTAATGCTGGCTGAAATGTGAAGTGAAGTGTTTTTTTGGCCGCCCCTGTATAGGCCCACACCCTAGTGAACGTCTGTACCTCTGAGGTAATTTTTTCGAGGATTCATTTTTTCAACAATATGCTTTATGTGACTACATATCTACGTAACACAATCAAGTCGTGCATATGAAATACATAGACTTCAATCTCAAACCAATTCCTGAAACCAACAAAAATTAGATGGACTTCCGCTGAGCTCGAAAAAATCAGTTAGGATTCATATAAAAAATTTGATACATAAGAATCAATGATATCTCGTGCATTTTGTACCTGTTGATTAATTACTGTTGAATCCAAACACGTCGGACACTTTCTGGCCCTTTTTCCTATTACAACATATTTTAAACACTTTCAGCTCCGCTTTTCCAATGTGTAAAAGCAGATCACTTTTGTCTGCTTATCCGGGAACTCTGTTTGCTAGTGTGCGAAAAAAAGGTTTATCATAGACTACTACCCATCATGAAAATGGTTCCTTCCACTTGCAATGAAGAGTCCACGCCCAAACCCTCCTGCGCACCGCAGCGATTCAAGCCGCCAGCATGGGTCAGTTTATGAACATATTGATGAAAATGATATTCCTTCTTCCTCATATCGACTGAGCACGGTACCTTCAGAGCCTCCTAAATCTCCTGCCACACCTATGGATGAGTGTCTGTAATAAGCTCCCTTCGCTTCTTCTGCACAGTGCTGCATATGAGGGACCTTCATTTCACTACATGCATCATTTTCGAGCTTCATTTCTTCAAGCCCAGACCTGACGAACTAATCTGACGCTGTGCATTTCTGGGTGCATTCTTGTATTTTAAAACAGTCTCCATATTGCAAGCCGACTTCGGCGTGTATTTTTCAATTTGAAGAGAGGAAGTGCCAACAGTGGAAAATTGCGATTTCGATAACTTGAGGGGGGGGGGGTGGAACGAAGCTCTTCGATGAGCTCGAATAGTTTCGAATATAACCGAAATAGGGCAGGGGAATACTACACGGCGGGCACACTTTGACCGACCTAATATTTTTGCATCGAACCACTTCAAAACACCAGCGAAGATGTTCTGCTTGGTAAATTTATGTGTGATGCGGATGAAACTTTGCAGTATCATATTAGGAGCAATTCTTCAGTTTACAGTGTCCCTCAGATGTACGATGTATGTATTCTTCGTGTTTGGAAACTGAAAACTTAAGACGCGGTACGCCATCTTCAACTGCCCTTTTGCTATCCAGTTCATTTTTTCTAACTTACAACGACTCACTCATCTTCATAAGTTGAACATCTTTTGTTGTGAGCTAAGTAGTCGCTCGAACCATCTAACTGCTTTGCAAGATGGAGGGGCACACCACGGATGTCAGTCGTCGTCACACTCTTGCACTCCAGCTTTCATACAGATCGAAGCGAAATGTTCTCTGTACGAGTGAATGAGCAGTTTATTTCAGAAAAAGCCCCGTCTTGACGAAATCATCTAGACGTAGCGGTACTCCAACTTGGTAACAGTAGCGTAGACTCGGTTGTAGGTTATTATGGGGACAAGGTTTGAAAGCGATTTGAGTACAGTGTTAGCGTCGTCCTTTGAACACAACCTAAACGAACCATTATATTATGCTTTGTTCAAGGAACTGTTTCAGATTGAATAAATAAAAGCTCTAATTTCTCAGAGTCAAATGTGCATACCTGTAACCGGTTCGGCGTTTGTCTGGATGGGTTTTGATTTCCACACCAGCATATGTGCATCCATCAACAGCAATTCCATCAGGGAAGTCCACAAATTTCACTTCTATCTTTTTGCCGGCCGGCGCCTTCAACTTCGATTGTAAAAGACTAATTGTTTTCTTTTCTGAGACCCACGAACCTTAATCCAGTAGTTGCATTGCATAAAATCTTCTCGCAGAGTGAGGCCAGCCTCTCGGTTTCCTAGATCGTCGACAAGCGGTTTCCACTCCTTGGTCGCTTCTAGTTCTGCACCGCAACCGGGTGGCTAGAAAAAATCTTCCGGAGAGTTTTGTTAGTTCGACCAGTAAGAGGGACCATTACCCTTTTTTCACAGAACTGTCCACCGTATCCACTAGGGCAAATGCATTTGGAGCAATCACGAGGATGAGCGTATCCATAATTTTGGCACGGTGTGTTCTTACCTTTGCATGCGTCTAAAACAGTGTTTCTATTGAGCACGTGAGCGAGAAGCAGCAAAAATCATTCAAAGATTCCACTTACCTGTGCAATTGTAGTGCGTGTTAATCATGAGCAAGTCGTAGTAAGATATAAATGGGGATCCTAGAGTCTCCGTGTACGTCACATCCTTCGGCACCATGGTAGGCTTACCGTTTACAGTACCGCTAAAAGTTTGAATTCATCTCGTGTGCCTCATAGTTGTCACTTCTCAAACCACTTCACCATGAGGCTCCGTAGTGCATCACGCTACCGTAGTCATATGGTTGACCATAATTGTTATTTGTTGAGATTGTTTCCCGTGTGAATTGGTCGAGATGTTCAGGCTAAAATCTCCAGCAATGTTGTCATCAAAGCTATGTACCATTCACGCATCTTACCACTATATTTTGTTCGTCAACCGTGATATATTGGTCACGATCATATCTTGAGTGCGTGTGGAAGAATCCGAGGGCGTGGCCAATTTCGTGAGCAGCAGTTCCAACCTACAGTAGAACGAAACGGCATTTATTACATTAAACTGAGTTTTCGGAAAACTGCTATTTTCGTGTGACGCGTTACTGAAAATACCGTGTTTCACAGGAAATCTTCATAAGACCGTACACTTTCACATCCTTCACCCAGGGAGAGGTTTTGCACACCACCAATTCTACCAGCATAGGACCAACATCCATTGTCCGCGAACACTCGTATACTGTCTTCTCCTGAAACTCAGACGTACAGCGGAGTTCTGCTACTGTTTCCAATTGATCAAAGCATTACCGAATTTGGTCGGTATGAAGTTGATACATGTATCAGACATCCACTGGTGTGCAGCTTTCTTGAACACACTTTGAACTTGCTCACCTGAATGAAGAAAAGTATAGGGGTGTTCAGAAGAATTAAGCGAACAATCGCTAGTTCTCTGTTATATACATGAATAAGGAAATGTGAGACTAATCACTGACTCGCGCTTTCGTCGAAGAAGTAGCGGACTCCCTTCGTCCACCTCATACCAGGGTATTCTCCATCATACATAGTCTGTCGCTTAGAACGGATGCCGAGAATGTCTGCGATAACTTGTTTTTGTTGTTTCCTTAATATTACACAAATTTTCCACTGCTCGTATGGAGAAATCAAGTAAACAGACTTTGTGAGAACTATATCTCCCTGGAATAATTTGTCTGCAATTTTGCTCCATACGTTTGTCTCCTCAATTGAGTCTCCTGTCGGTAGAACTTTATCAATAGTTTTTCTTTTCAGCATCTGAAACAGTTCAAAAAAATCAATTATTAATATCCGAATTTCTATCGGCTACCAACCTTCAGTCTTTCTACAAGCTCATTTCTTTGTTCCTTCGACAGGTGAAGCTTCCGCAGCATCTCTTTTTTGTATCCGCTCAATTTTTTGCGGAAATCCATCATTTTGCTATTGATGGCCTGTAAGGATAACTGACACTCGATGTTGCACCTTCTACGGATTTCTGAAAGATATTCTACCTCGTTAATGCGATTCATAGTCTTTTTTATTCTTTTGTTGACTTCGTGCTTGATGAGCCCTTTGAGGCTTTTAACCAAGATTTTTTTCTTGAGGTCGAACAGGTCAGCGCTTACGCATACGGCCACAAGTAGAGTGAGTATAATAATCCTCATCCTGAAATGTAGAGCTCGAAAATTTTAAAGTATGAATATACTTCAGATAGGAAAACTGCTGAATGGTACAGTCGCATACTCCTACTCATATTTATACGATGTCTCCAGGCCTTGGAGTTGACACAGCAGAGGGGTTTGACGTCGAATCATATCGGGCAATGTAAAAAAATTACCGATACCAGCTGCCATTCTGGCTTACACATGCATTGTAACATGTTCAGAACATCGCTCAAATTAACCGTTTCTTTGAAGGAATAACGAGTGAAAGCACTTGGGAATACGTAAGAACTATTGTGAAGTATTCCCGCATTGTCCTCATTAGAGAACGTGCAGTTGTTGTAATCGTTTTGACTCTGTGTCCCAGGAATATTGTAGAGCTGCCATCCATGCTTGCGTATTTGTTACCAGTTTTGCTCCGCCCATCGCGCGCATCACACGGCAGGCTTTAGTGAAACTGAAAGACCCATGGAATATCAGCATGAGGTACTCCATTAACCACCTCACTATTGAATGTGTTAGACCTTTCCCAGTTTCGCTGAAGTCCATCGAGAATACGCGTGATAACGTCTGGAGCTGAACTGGCATATTTATCTCACAACTGTAAACATCCAGCATTCTTCTTGAATTCAGATAATTTAGCGGTGAATAGGATTGCTGTCAGTCTCAAAATGAAAATGAAATATACTCGATATCCGAAAGTTGGGGTAGGCGTGTCACCGGAAGTGACGTGCACTTGATAGAAGCTATGTGGATAAGCTGCTTCCAACATACATCGCTGGATATCAGCAAAGCATGCTGGCAACAGCTTATCCACGCACCTTCTATCAAGTGCACGTCAGTTACGCTCACGATGTCAAAGAGCCTATCCCAACTCTAGGATAACGACTGTATGCCTCCTTACATGAGTGAGGAGCTAGGCTTATCATTTCTTTACATTCACCATTATTTAGAACCCGAAAGGATTAGCGGTTTAATGAGTTTGGGCTTTCTTGATAGAAATGAAAGTTATCATTTGCTGAAGACTTGATTGAATTTATGCAATCGACTGCCTATTG